GGATGCACCACATTTAAATGCAACACAGACAATCTTTTGATTAAAACCAAAATATTGTATTGGTGCATTATTATTATTATTATTATTATTATTATACCCATCACATTTTTGCTTGCCGTTTTCATCACTTTCATGAAGTCCAAGAAAAAAATATCTTTCAACTCTAGTATGTTTCATATTACAATTTTGAAATTCTATTAATAGAATTAATATTCCATACTTTTTAATATCAAAACTAAAAATATAAAAAAATATAAAAAATTAATTTACCAAATAGAAATATAAGAGAAGACACAAGAGCTATATTAAGAAACTTAATTTTAATCCTTATTGAAAGCCACAGAGATGCCTTATTTAGTTCTTTTTTAACATAAATATTACACGCAGAATTTCCGTTTGTGTTTCTAGACAGCAACAGCACTTGAATGCTACAGAATTCACTACCAGCAAGTATACAAGCAGAGCAGAATTGACAACATGTCCTTAGCTTTAGACATTTGAGTCTTGGAAACGATTACAGGCAAAAACTAGGCAGTTGTTTGAGGAAGGAGGCGAACCGGTAGCCCTTTAGCTGGCATTGGCATTGGGTCTACAATTATGTTTTCATCAGGAAGTAGTTTCTCCCAGTTGAACCTCTTGACAATATTGTGCATGAAGACTAGTATTTCCAGGCGAGCATACTCCTTCCCCGGACACATTCTCGGTCCTCCTCCGAAAGGAACAAAAGTGTAAGGAGCTGGTCCGTTCCCTTCAAACCTCGAAGGATCAAACTTTTCAGGCTCCGGGAAGCATTCTGGATTTCTGTGTGTTGAATTCGCACTCCAGTACAACTGTACAGTAATTATACATTTGGAAAAAACAATAAGATTTTGAACAATAGTCAATGCATGAATATGAATACTTATATAGCCCTATCGATCAAAAATTGGTCAGGCTGTCCACTTACCTTCCATCCCTTTGGAATGGTGAAACCAGAATAGATGAATTCGTTCAGGGCTTCTCTAAAGGCTCCTTGGAGGGGTGGAGCAAGACGCATTACTTCACATGCCACATTCCATGAGTATTTCATCTTTTGAATATCATCCCAATTCAGCAACTCTCCAGGGGCTTTTGATTTTGCAATCTCCATTTGCTCTGTAAACCCGAATTGTCAGAAATGAGGTCAACCCAAGCCATCAAACTCTATTTTTTATTCCTTGGTCTTCTGATACATCAGTCTGAATCTAGGCTACTATGCGTAAACTTTAAGGATTCTACACCTGAGTCTCTCACATATAGCTAGATAATATTGGTGGACATGGACTTGGTAAAAAAAAAAGAATAAATAGTGAACCGCCACTTGTTTTTGTTGTAAAAACTATGGTTCTAGTGCCTGAACTTTTCCGAATAAGGACGGAACATCCTCATGGTACCAAACTTTCATGACAAACAAGAATTAATAATAAACAAATTCCCTGAATTGATCTAGTCAAAACTATATTATGGGGAGAGAGAGAGTGAGAGAGTATCGACCTAAAATTAATAGTCAAAGAAAACACAAAAGAGAAAGTTCAATATGCTGACTAAACGAGTGAATAGATTCTACATATTATATTCTGTTTTGTTTTCCATTACAGCTGGTCAAGAGGATATAGTGAAAGAACGTGGAAAAAGTCAAAATTTCAGAGGTTGCATCTCTAATTATAATAATCAAAACCTTGGAGGGATTATTGATTAACAACTCATCGTGTAGTAAGATTATAATTGAAGCCACTCACGATTGTTCATCCTATATAAGCTAAGCTAGCCAGCAAGCAAGCTGATGCCATTTAATAATTCAAGAGTTAATAATGAACATCTTCCCAAATGGATTCTTTTACCAAAGTCAGTCTGTAGCCTTTTAACTTTGTGTAATAGTGTCTTGCTCCACATAGTCTCACACATAAATATGCAATAAAGAATATTATGGTATGTAAACTTAGCCGGCCTAAGGACTTTTGAAGCAACTTAATTTAACAAATTATTCTCTCTCTTTTGAAGTAACTTTAAATTTTATAATATTATATCCACTCACATCAAAATTTTGTTCTTCTGTTTAATACCAAGTCAAATGCACCCGAAGAATTACCAAGGGAGTGATTAACTGCCGCTTTGTAAAAGTTGTAACAAAGAAATATTGAAAGATTAGGAGTATCGTAACCGAATTGAATGAAGTCCTTTTGCTTTTAATAAAAGCTTACCTGACTGCACCTTTTGGTAGATCTCGGGTAGTTCAGCGAGGTACTTGACGATAAATGTGATAGCAGCACTTGCGGTGTCATGGCCTCCAATCAGCAAGCCAAGAATCTTGTCGGCTATGTCCAATTCGTTCATGTACTGCCCATTCTCATCACTTGTTAACAACATGTGCGAGAGTATGTCTTGTGTTGGAGATGCTTTCTTCTCTGCAAGATCAATTTTCCTTTGTTTGATAATAGCACTCAATTCTTTCCTTATCAAGTTTGAAGCCTTGATGGCACGATTGAATGGTGTTCCTGGCAAGTCTATGGGAATTGATATAATCCCCGAGGCCAAAACGTTAAAAGGATCGCCCAATTTAGCTACATGTTTAGGATCCTCTATGCTCAAGAAGACCTTGCTGGCGACCCAAAAGGTGTAATTCTTTGCAAGTGGAAACACAGACACTTCTTGCTGGCCTTCCCAACTAGACTCGAAGTGTCTTTGTGCAATAGTATCCATCATCCCTACATATCTTTGCAATGCCTCTGGCTTGAGGAAATTCGGGAGTAGCTTCCTCATCTTCTTGGATTCCTCTTTGGAAGATGTTTGCGTAGAAGAAGGGAATATCTTGTTCACGGAATTTGGCCACCATGCGGTGACAAGCTTGGTTTCGTTAGAGAACAAGAATTTGTTCCCAGCTGCGCCACAGAAAACTGCCGTAGCTTCTCCTAGTATTGATGTTCTAAAGACTTGAGAGGAGAACTTGGCCATTCTATCATATATAAACTTCTCGGGGTGACCATTTCGGCCTGTCGACAGAAATTCAAGGCTCTCGCCGATGTATGGCAAGCCTGTTTTACCAGGTGGGAGGTTTGGCTGGGAAGCATTTGTCCTGCAGGCGTAGGAAACGATAGAGAAAAGGGAAAAAAAGACAAACAGGGTGAAGAGAGTGAGACCACATAGGAAAAAGAACTCCATTTTTGGCTCAAACACTCTTTGAAAGAGTTGCAAGGGAAGGATTTGAGTTGGATATTGAGATTAGAAATGCATATCATATAAATAGGTGAAAGCATTGGAAGAAGCTTTCAAGTCAAATAAGGTTAACAATAAAAAATGCAGTCTGGGTTTGGTAGAGTGTAGAAAATTTAGCGTCCAGGTACAAGTCAATAAGTTTCACTTCGGATGGCACCCGTTCAAAGCATGCAGCATAAAATATTACCTCTAGCCAATGAATAAGCACCCATGTTAAACACCCAATTTATGGTTTGCGATACACTCGAAGTCGAATCCAGGTTGTTGTGATTAAGAAATCTCAGTAATGAAATGTACCAGAGCATGATTGATAATATTATAATAAATTAATTTTTAAATCACTTAATTGTCAGAAATTTTTTATTTTGATTAATCAATTCTGAAAATTATCATTTTAATCACTAATACCTAGAGATGTTATTATTTAGATTACTCATTCGTTACATCAGCATATCGCTAGGTGACATATTCATGTCAAAGGTGATTAAAATATTATCTATTTTATCAGACAATTTTGAAAAGTTAAGTTACTAAAACGATAGTTTACTTTAAATGCTCTGGTTAGTTTAGTTCATTTTGTTTTTGTTTTTTTTTTTGTTTTTTGCTCTCCAATGACTTATAGATTAGAGTTTTTATCGAACTAATGTCCTTAAAAAATTAAATGTACAATTATATCAATACTTTTATTTAGAAAGCACTCTTTAATTACTCTATTTTGGAACACTTAGTAAAGAAAATAAAGAAGAAAAGAGGAGAAAAAGAGATTAAAAGGTTAAAAGGAAAGGAAAAGAGAAAAATGAAATTAAAAATGTAAATGGAGACAAAAGTTATTTATATGATAAATAAAGTAAATTTTAGTAAACTGCAAGATAATAACAATAATAATAATAATAATCAAAGACATACAATAATAGAGGAAAATAAGACATATTGTGAATTGGTTATAATTCACATTAATCACTTAATATTTTGAAATTTTTTATTTTGATCACTTTTTTCTTATAAGCTACATTTTTATTGATTCTAGAGATTACACCAAGATATCAATAAATATGGCCACAAGCCAATAATCATTGGAAAGCCATAATCAATCCCTTTTCCATTTTCCAAAACCTACCCAGTACATTACCATATTCAATGCTTTTTACCGATGAAAACTTCTGTCGTTAAAAGACTATTATTTGTTGGTAATTGAAATTATCTATAGAGTATTCTATCAGTATTTAGTCGAAAATACCTTAATCGATAAAGGTCTTCCTGTTGGTAACTCAGTATTCCGTCGATGAATCCCCAACAAAAAATTTCGTCAAACTGTCGGTCAACAATGCATTCAATCCATCGGTAGTAGGATTGGTTAGTATTCACAAGTTTCTGTTGATGATATTTTAATTTTGTCAATGATAATCTTTATTCTGTCAATAATCATACCCATAATTCCATCAATAAACTGCTAAAGTATTCAATTATTTTCAAAAATTAAAAAATACAAATACTAATAATTTTAAATATTATTTTCATATCAAATACAAATAATTTTAAATAATTCTAAATATTGGAAATATGTAAAAAAATATTATTTTAATTAATAAAGACATGAATACAAATTGTATTATTTTTATATCAAAGAATAGAAAAATGTACGAGTATATTAAGAATACAATTGAAAAAAAAAAAGCAACAGCATCTAGCCACTAGCATCATCCCTTCTTCATGCATCCTCACTCTTAGAAGGGCTCAACGACTGCTTTGATAAAGATTCGGTGTGGCAACCCACCGCATCACTCATTGCAGGATCTATTGAACACTGCACTCCAAGTTCATAGTATATGTATGGAATTGAGATCATCTTCCTAGTCAGCTGAGGTCGGCTGATTGGATATTCTATCTCTATAGCTCCCTTGTCAAATATGTTCATAAAATAATCATATTTGATAAGGGAGATTCAAAGATAGAATACTTGATAAGGAAGACCATCAACTTTACAAGAAGATGATCTTACATACTAATACCATGAGAATAGAGGGAATGAAATTGAAGACTTACGTTAGGTGTCGAATATATATATATATATATATATGGAAACTAACCTTTTGTAGAATTATTTATTTTGAATGGAAAATAGACAAAGATTACAGAACATGTGCATCATCTAAGCTTAACCATAACATTCCAAAAAATGGAAACTAACCTTCTGTAAAACCACTCATTTTGTAATCTTTGTCGATTTTCTGTTCAAAGATTTCAATGCGAACATCTTGCATATTCTATGGACCTAACATACCTACCCAAATTATTTAAATTTAAGGTTAGTCAGTCAAGTCTACGGAATATACAAGTGATGGATTTTGCTATAGTCTCCTGAACCCAAACTTTTGAAATGATATGCCTATTTCATGAAAAGTATAACCATATTAAGTAAGCATAAATTCATTCAAGGAAGGCAATCATCTAGAAAAAATCATTGAAGATTATTGAACAATAACAAAATCTCAGATAATTAAGACATGAATCAAGCTATGACAAACAAAAGATCACCAACTATATTGTAGAAATTCTCATTATGAGGGTAAGTTGTAAATAAATTTCTAATAAGACTCTAAATTATATTTTTCCTACTCTAAAAAGATTGCACTTTTCTTTTATTCAATAAATTCATTCAAGGAAATCAATCATTTATAAAAATTTTGATTATTGAATCAGAAAAAAATCTCACATAATGAACAAATATGAATCAAGCTATGAAAGAAAAGACCACCAACTAGATTGTACATGAAAGAAATTCTCACTACGAGGGCAGGTTGTAAATAAATATCTAATGAGATTCCAATTTGTATTCTTCCTACTTTAGCAACATTACACTTTTCTTTTATTCAATAAATTCATTCAAAGAAATGATCAATCAATAGGGAAAGGAAGGCAACTAACCAAGACAAGAGGTAAAAGGGGATTACAAATTGAAGGGTAAGTTACTAAATTTAGAATTGACATGAAAAGAAAATGAAAGAGGGCCTGAAGGATGGATAGGTGAAAGGAGGAAGGTGCTTAAACATGTTTCAACAATAAAAAACTTATAGGGAAAGGTTTTGGTATGGCATTTTCTTTTCTTATAAACATGCTTCAATATTGTTCCATTGATTCACAATGAACAATCTAAAGCACCAATAGCACCTAAAAAAAATCTAAAACATTTTGTGATCCTTACTTAACAAACAAACTATACCAAAAAAATAAACATAATTCCAAACAATTTAAAATCAACATTTAGTTAATCAATAAAATTCAAAGCAATTCAACCTAAATATTGTCAGAGAAAGAGTTATGAATATCTAACGTTAAAAAACTTACAGGGAAAGCTTTTGTTCGATCAATTCTCAAGCAACAGGTCTGGTAGGATTGATGATGAGGGAGGCTCGATCAATGTCGATGAAAGCTAGGTTGGCAAGGAAAAGGGTGGAGAGTAATTTAAGGCGAAAGTAATGTTGGGGGGCAAGTTGGGGAAGAGAAAAAGAAATAAAGAAGAAAAAAATGAATAAGATTTCCAGGGGAGCTTGAAGGGGCTCCTTATATATTAAAAATCCCTATATGATATTACCAATTGAAATTCTATTAGTAATTCAATTGGTAAATCTATAATTTCTCCCTAACCACTCTAATTGATAGAAAACATCCAACATCACTTTGACAACCACTAATTTAGCATAATTAGACTCACAAACACCAATAGGTCTTGAACATAAGCGAGCATGATGCCTCCCTTTTCTCTCGACATTCCTCCCACCCTTACAAAACCTAGATTCTTCCTAGTTGACCTATCAATGTTGAACTTCAAAAAACCTTCATTTGGTGACTACCATTGCTCCTCCTTCCACCCATTACACTTTTATCACATGCAATCCTATCTCAATTCTTTAATTATCCCTCCATACAACGTTGATCACTGTGGTTCCTCCCTCTAAAACCTTTATCTAAAAAAGAGTCCTAATCCTCACTAGAGTGACTAATTCATACATTCTCCATTTCTTCTTATAAAAAAAGTCTCATTTCTTGCTCCCGATGAGGTACTTTTGCTCATTGTCTTTTAAGTTTACCCTTCTTGATACTAGAATTCTTTCGTGGGCATCATTCCAAGGTATGCAGGCCACAAAAAACATTATACTTTAGCAATTACTTTGGGTTTCCAAACCCCCCTTAACTTCTCATCAATTCCATCCCTTAGTAAATCCCTCAAAATTTTTATTAGTTTTTAAATTGAAAATTTTTCATGCCCATCAAACTTCCAAATTAACCTATTCTTTTTTTCCCATCCACTTCATATCTTTAAGCTTCATCATCAATTGTTTCTCTAGTTCCTTTTCCCACACAAAAAATCTTCTTTTAAAGTCTATCTTTGACCTTTGACTTTTTTTATCCTATTATATAACTCACAAATTGTAGCCTAATTGCTACTAGCTATGGTGAACATCCTAGAGTAAATAGTTTTTAATGGCTTGTCGTCTACCGATTCATCATGCTAAAAGGCAATTTTCTCTCCATTTCCCAATAATCACCAACAACCTTAAGCTCCTATGAAACTCTAACATTCATTCCACTTGGGTTATCAATGTCTTATCCAAACCTATCATCTATTTTGCCTTCTTCAATGATGGAATATATTCTTGGGCACCTCTTTCATATTTTTCCAATATGCCACTCTTCCATAATGAACCTCTCTCCATTCTATACCTCCACCACCATTTAATAATGCTCAATTAATTGTAAAAGATACTAGTTTGGTCACCTTTGATGTGGATATGCCACTTAGCTAATTTATGATGATGTGTAATATACAAATGGAGGTCTTTTATCTTTTAATGGCTAAATGATCAAAATAATAACACTTATAAACATTAGTGATCCAAATGTTATTTTTTAAAGCAAATTACTTTAATCACAAATTTTGAATAAACCATACTATAATAGTGAAAAAAGCCATCTACCATACATCTCCATTGTTTAAACCTTTTGTTGTATCATTCCAGCTAAGAAAACAAGCTAAAGAGTCATGGTAGTTCACCCATTTGAATCCCTAATTTTCAGCCCACTAACTCCATAGCATCCACATCTTAAGACACGAGAAAAACAGATGATTGACACATTCAAGCTCCCTTTTACAAAGTAAATAGCAAGTTGCATTAGCTCTAAGAATTCTTCTCAACAATGTTGCTTTAATTGCCACTTTCCTTTTGATTAATAGTCACCCAAAGGCTTCAACTTTGAGTGGAGCTAAACCATTGCATAGGTCCTAAAAATTGTCTTTCTCATTATTCATTTCTTGCACATATCTATAGTGCAACTTAGTGGAATACACACTGCTAGGGTTTCCTTTTTAGGTCAATTTATTCACAAAACACCTTCTTAGCACTATAGTATTTTATCCACCTCCTTTTAAATTTAATCTAATTCAATCCACATGCTAACACTATGAAATAATTAACATCAAAGAGAATTGAATAAAGCTTGATTACTGTTGTGATGTATTGCTTGTATTTATAATACTAAGGTTACAAGATAATGATAAAAATTACAAGTTTGAATACAAATAAGATATACAAGAATTATACGATGAATTTAAAATAGCCTAGATAAGTGTCTATCTTTAGTAGATTGAGTAGTGTCTATAACTTACTTTTCCTCCAATATGCCTTCGTAAGATGATGGAACCATTAGCTACACCTGCCTTAGATCGTAGAAACTAAACCTATCCTTGGATAGTGGCTTTGTAAGAGCATCTGCTGTTATAAATACTTGAAACTATCCACGATTGATCTTTTTTCGAACAAACAAAATAAGCCAAAGCTAGATGTTTTATTCTAGTATGAAAGATTGGGTTCAGCACATGTGTAGATGGCACTAAGATTATCATAATATACTATTGGTGAACTAGTTAGGTGAACTTTAGGTTCACTTAACAAATATTGGATCCATGTAACTTTAAAAACTATTGCACTTATGGCTCTGTACTCCACTTGTACACCACTTCTGTGGAAGACCTTATCATTGTTTTCTAGTTTTAGAATACCGTGAGATAAGAGTTACTCCAAGACAAAGTAACATAAGCAGATTAAATGTTTTGTTGTTTGAATTACTAGCCTAATCAGAATCTAAAAATGCTGGAAGACTCAACTAAGATTGTTTCCTAAAAAATAAAGCATGAAACATTGTGCCTTTTAAATATCTCAAAACTCTTCAAAATGATAGAAACAAGCATGAAGAACTCACTTAAGAAAGGCATAAAGGTCTCTGTTCTTAAAGATTAAAATAGAGTAGTATGAGCTATATTTTATAGAAAACGGTGTCACCAAAAAAGCTATCCATATAAGCTTGATTACAAGGTTATATACTATTGTGTCATACATCACACCTATTCCTAATATTAGCAAGTGTCAGACATATGGCTACCATGATCTCTACATGGCAACATGTATGTGACACCAAGACAGCACAGTTTGCTTACATTAGTACCAGTACAACGAAGCAAAGTATAATAATACAAAAGGAACATTTGTCTTGGGGATGCATGCATTAATATCTAACACTCCTCCTTAATATCTGCATGGTGTATATTCAGTTTGCTTATGAGATATTCAAGTCTTGGTCCAGATAAAGCCTTGGTCATTATATCTGCCAATTGCAGTTTAGAGGAACAATATTGGACATTAACCTCACCATTCTTCTCAGCATCACAAATAGCATGAAACTTGACCTGAATGTGCTTTGTTTTGTTATGAAACACTAGATTTTTTAATACTGCAATTGGTAACTTATTATCAACCAGTAATGGAGTTGGCTGACATTGTGAAAGTCTTAAGTCTGCCAATACTTTGCTCAACTAGATGGCCTGATTAGATATAGTTGATGCTACAATGTATTCTACTTCAGTAGAAGATTGAGCAACCAGTGTTTGCTTATGAGAGTTCTAGTTGAATGGGCCATTACCTAAGGTAAAAACATATTCAGAAGTACTGTGGAGATCATCAATATTTCTAGCCCTGTCACTGTCTGAATATCCTAACAGATGCACTTGAGTTGTTCTAGTGAAATGAATCATGAGATTTTGAGTTCCTTTCAAATATTTTAACACATGTTTTGCAACTATCAAGTGAAGATTAGTTGGGTCTTGCATGAATCTTGATAGCATACTAGCAGAAAACATAATGTCTGAATAAAAAGAACATACGTATAATAAGCATCCAATCATACTTCGATAAATCAAAGGATCTTTAAGCTTTATACCTTTATTGCAGGAGTATTTTTCATTTACAGTGCAAGCTTACAATGCTTCATATGAAATCTCCTTAGAACATCTGAAATATATTTCTTCTATGAAAGTTTAATCCCATCAACTGATTGGTTAATTTCTAACCCCATGAAATAGCTCATCAAACCCAAATCAGTCATATTGAACTCACTATACATTTTTCCTTTAAACTTCCTCAATGTTGTGTTGTCTCCTCCTGTAACTAGCAAGTCATCAACATATAGTGAAAGAATAATAGAAGGTTTAGTTGAAGAGCTATATACGTATAAAGTTTCTCTATTACAGCTTTTGATAAACCCCTGATTTAGTAAATATATATCCATTCTACTGTACTAGGTGCAAGTGTCACGGACCCTAGTTCAGCGTATTGGAGGTTGTCCGAGGGTGTTCTGAAGTGTCGGTATATGGGGGAGTATTGCTCGGAGAAAGCCCCCACTAGATAGCTGAAGGCAGGTGCAGGGTACCCAGCAAGGGAGCGCAGCACAGGCCCTTGGGCGAGCCAGCCCACACAGAGCCAAGCAGACTGCACGCAGCTGGCCCAGGTGTGCCAGCCCGTACAGCAGGGGTGCGCAACACCCAGGCCCGCATAGCATGGGAGCGCGATACCCAGGCTCGGGGCCCGTCGGCCCTCACAGCAGGGGTACGCGATACCCAAGCCCGAGGCGCGCTGGCCGGCATGGCAGGGGTGCGCAGCATGCAGGCCTGCACAGCATGGGTGCGCGGTACGCAAGCTCGGGTCACGTCTGCCCAACAAGGGGCTCGGTACGTAGGCCTGCACAGTTGGGGTGAGCGGCACGTAGGCCCGCACAGCGCCCAAACAGAGTGCCTGGGCGTGGCCCATGCGCACCAGCCTGTCAGCGCCCAGGCACACAGCATGTGCGCTGCCCAGACCCACCAAGAGGTCAAAGATGACACTGGCCCACTACAGTAGCCCTTTTAATGGCCTAAGCTGCTAGAATTTTAGCTTCCCTCCTAAAAATGTTTTGGAGGGAATTTTTTTGGAGGAAACTCTTTTGGAGGGAAATTGGCTATAAATAAGCCCTTATAGATTGTGTAAATCAGATCATTCAATACATTCTCAGATTTTCTTTTTCACTTTAAAAAATTCTCCAGCACTCTCCTCTCTTCTCTCC